TATGCTTATTATAGGAGCCAGTGATTCACTTCCACCATTGTGCTCAAGCTAAATGGAACATTTTCCCAAAGACTTACACTCGAATAGTCATGGCATTTTTTATTCATGATAGTTTAACACTGGGGACCACCCAGATGTTCATAAATAGGTTATTCAACAAACATGACATGGAGCCATAACATGGCGTGTTACTCCAACACAGAAAGGAGCATGTGACTGTTTACCAATACGGATAAATCTCAAAAGCATCACACAAATGAAAGAAGCCGGCACAAGGGACTACATACTGCGCGATTTCATTTAAGTTAAATTCTGGAAAATGAAGAACACAGTGGTAGAAAGTAGATCCATGGTTGCCAGAGTCAGGCATGGGCGGAAAGGGCTGCCAAAGAGGCAGAGGGAAGTTTTGGGAAGTGATGGGAATTTTCTCTACCTTGATTGTGGTTGTGGCCACACAATTAAACCATTCACACACACATCCAGTTGTGCACTTAACACTGTTAAATGGCATGACATGAATTCTACCTCAATAAAGCTGACAAACTGATTCAAAGAAATAAAAACATTTGGGTGGATCCATTAGATAAATTATAATAGCTTAAAATCATACCAATTCTATATAATTCATTCTTCTAATTACTCATTCATGGTACATTGAGTTCCTATGCTATGGCAGGCACTATTACGTAGGCTTCACAGATAATGCAGCACACTAAACAGGACAAGCCCCTGCTCTCTTGGAACTTACATTCTGGTTGGGGAGAAAGACAGTGCACAGATGAAAACTGATGCTAGTGACGGGTCCCATGGTGTGTGTATGTGGGGGGGACTCATGGGTGAGGCAGGAAGAGGCCATGCTGCTCGTGGTCAAGAAAGACCTCCCAGATGAGATGACATGGGAACCAAGACTGGACTCAAGTGGGAAGGCAAGCCCTGGAACACACAGGGGGAACCAGTCAAGGTAAAGATGCTGAGGAGGGGGAGCACTTGGCATTTTAGAGATATTCAGGGGGTGGGCATGGGGAAGCACACCTATAATCCCAGGGACTTAGGAGGCTGAGGCAGGAGGATTACAAGATCTAGGCAAGCCTCTACCATTTGGCAAGCTCCTGTCTCAAAATAACAAAAGGGCTGAGGATGTAGCTCAGTGTTAGAGTGCTCCTATGATCAATCACCAGTGCCAAAAAAAATTATTTCAAAGGTAGAGTCAGGGAAACCAATGTGATTTGAACAGGTTTAAGGAGGTTGCTGAGGGCTTTGAGCTGGGCTACATGACTTTTTTTTTTTTTTTTTTTTTTTGGGTACAAGGAATCGAACTCAGGGGTGCTTAACCACTGAGCCACATTCCCAGCCCCAGCCCTTTTTTAATTTTTGAGACAGCATCTCACTAAGTTGCTTAGGGCTTCAATGAATTATGGAGCCTGGCCTCAAACTTGTGATCTTCCTGCTTCAGCCTAGGGAGTTGCTGAAATTACAGGTGTGTGCTACCCTGCCCGGCTTAAACGCTCGAATCTTACTCCGAGTAGAATGGGAAGCCATTGACCTGATATTCTAGAGGAGAAACAACATGATCTCACTTGTGTTTAAGAGGATCTTTCCAGGTCTGGGAGTGTAGCTCAGTGGTAGATGCTTGCCTGGCATGCAGTGAAGCCCTGGGTTCCATCTATAGCACCGCACTCACGCAAATAAAAATAAATAAATAATCAAACAAACAAACAGACAGAGGGATCTTTCTGGCAGCTTTGTACAAAATGGATCAGCCCTTTTTGTAAGGGGCCAGATTTTTTTTGGGGGGGGGTACTGGGTATAGAACCCAGGGGCACTGTCCCCCGATCTATATCCCCAACATCCACCCCCAACTTTAATTTTGAGATAGGGTCTTATCAAGTTGCCTAGGTTGACCTTGGATTTGCAGTCTCCTTACCTCAGCCCCCTGAGTTGTTGGGATTACAGCTATGCACCCCCCTACCTAGCTCAGTAATATTTTAGTTTTGCAAACTGTGTGGTCTCTGTTGAGATTATCCAGCTCTGCTGTTATGGAGGCAAAGCAGCCAAGAACAATATTGAAATGAAGGAGTGTGGCTGAGTTCAAATGGCACTTTACCTACAAAACAGGCAGTGGGCTAGATTCAGCCCTGTGTGAATAACTGTAAACAGTTAACCACAGGAATAACTGTAAGGGAAGGAAGGTAGACCAGTTGGGAGGTCCCATAATAAAATAAAGGAGGAAGTGTCAGTCACCCGTACCAGGGTATAGCTGGAAAGTGGCGAGACAGGACTGGGTCAGGTATATTATAATGGTAGAGCCAATAGGATTTGTTTGCAGGTAAGATAGGGAATGAGAGACAAAGACATTTTGTATGATTAATTGGAAGAACAGCTATTTGGGAGAAGATAGGCAGGGGATTACAGATAAAAATCAAGAATTTGGGCTTGCACATGTTAGGTTTGGGAGATCTATTAGATTTCTATTAAATATATAGGTATATACATATATACATTGGTGTAAGTACTAATATATATATGTATATATATATATATATATATACATATATACATATATATATATATATATACATATATATATATTAGTATTGGGGAATTTAATCATCTAAGGGCACTTTACCACTAAGCTACATCCCTAGCTCTTTATTTTTATTTTTGAGATAGGGTCTCATTAAATTGCCAAGGGTGTTCTTTTTTTTTTTTTTAAATATTTATTTATTTATTTATTTTAGTTTTCGGCGGACACAACATCTTTGTATGTGGTGCTGAGGATCGAACCCGGGCTGCACGCATGCCAGGCGAGCGCGCTACCGCTTGAGCCACATCCCCAGCCCCGCCAAGGGTGTTCTTGAACTTGTGATCATCCTACCCCAGCCTCCCAAATAGCTGGGATCACAAGCTTGAGCCACTGCACCTGGCTTTTACTAAATATATTGAGTTGGAGATAGGATCAGGGGAGAGAGAGAGAGAGAGAGAGAGAGAGAGAGAGAGAGAGAGAGAGAGAGAGAAAGAGATTGGGTTTACAGAAACTGGTTTCAAAGTCTTCATTTGTCTAGAGGGTTTTTAAACCCAAGAGACTGGATGAAACCCTCCCCTCTAGGGAGTGTTTGTAGATTGAGAAGAAAGTAGGTCTGAGGGCAGTTTTACAGATGGGAATCCCAAAGATTCAAGGACTACTAAGCATAGACTTTTGCTCACTGTTTCAGGGAACAGAGGGAGGGAACACTTCATCCTCAGTTCATGAGGCTACTATGCCTTATGCCCAAAAAGATAATTTATAGGCCAATCTCACTTATGAGTATAGAAGAAAGGTCTCAATATGTAAATATATTTCTATAATACATTAGCAAAGCAAATCTAGAAGTTATGTGATCCAGTAGTGTTTATCCCAGGAATGTAAAGAGATTCATATATTATTCTATTAATATAATTTTCTATATTAATGGAATAAAGAACAACAATCCCAGGATCATAAGAGTAGAAAAGCATTTGATAAAATTTAAGATAATTTTTAAAAAATTGTTTTCTTATTAAACAAAGCAGGACTAGTTGGGGGCTTTCTTAACTTGGAAAGGGTATTTGCCAAACACTTCATACTTAATAAAGGAGCATTAGAAGCATTTAAAACAAACAAACAAACACACAGGAAGAACACCTATAATTTCAGTGGCTCTGGGAGGCTGAGGCAGGAAGATTAGAAGTTCAAAGCCAGCCTCAGTAACTTAGTGAGGCCCTTAGCAACTCAGTGAGAATCTGTCTCAAAAAAAAAAAAAAAAAAAAAACCAGACCAAACAACAACAAAAAAATCAGGAAGAAAACTATTCTTACATTTATCCCAAACAATCCCCGATTTAACGATGGTTCAACTCACATTTCATAAAGCGTTATGAAAGCCGCACACGTCAATAGAAACCATATCTGAATACTCACTTTGGACTTTTTCCGGGCTAGTCACACATGGTTCAATCCTTTCTGTTGATGGCGAGTAACTGCAAGGAGCTGTGGCCCTGTCAGCCCCACATTCTGCAGGCAAATAACCAACCCTGGACAATGTGGTTAGGTGGTTAGGTGTAATAAACCATTCTCCACTCTGCATTTATCAGAACACAAGTCCATCTGTATTACCTCCGAGACCCTCACCAGTGCAGGGGTGTAGTAGGATTACAGAAGAATAAGGAAAAAAAAACCCAACAAAACTGACATTATTCACAAACACTGCTTAATTGTACAGAAAAGCTAAGATAAATTATTAGAAACAGAGAATTTCTGGGGCTAGGTCTGTAGCTCAGGAGTAGGGTGCTCGCCTAGCATGCACAAAGCCCTGGGTTCTATCCCTGGCACTGGAAAAAATAAGAAAACAAGAAAATTTCTGCATATAAAACCAATATGCATACCAAGTGTCTCTTTCACTAGCTGTGAACAGTTTAAAGCTGTAACCTGCCCTTCTCTGATAGAGGTGGTAGAAACCAGGGGAGCTCTTTGAGTCACATTTCTGGCACTTCTTATTTCTGAGACAGGGTCTTGCAAAGTTGCTGAGTGAGGCCTTGAATTTGTCATCCTTCAGCCTGAGCCTCCCTAGGCACTGGGATTACAAGTGTGTGTCCAACTAAAGCTGGAATTTTTTCCCCCTGGTACTGGGAATTGAACTCAGGGGCACTCAAACCACTGAGCCACATCCCCAACCCTATTTTGTATTTTATTTAGAGACAGGGTCTCACTGAGTTTCTTAGCGCCTCTCTGTTGCTGAGGCCGACTTTGAACTCACGATCCTCCTGTCTCAGCCTCCTAAACCACTGGGATTAAGGCCTATGCCACTGCGCCTGGTTTAAAGCTGGAATTTTTGAAGGGAAGTTATTTGACTTGCCCAAAGTCCTGAAGCTGAGATGAAAAGCAGGCTCTGAGTGGTGGACTAAACTGCTTCTCCAGCAGTACAGCAGGACTTTTGGGGTATGAGGTCCTGAGCTGGGTGGAGGCAGCTATGGGGAAAGGCTCACCATGGGTAGGACTGAAGCCTTCAGCGAGGCAATGGTGATGGGCTGCGTCTTCTTGTCCTCCTGGTTTGTGGGGGGCACAATCTCCACACGGTTCACCTCGTCTTTGGCTTTCTCCCCCAGGCAAATCTGAGGGTGGTGGCAAACAGAGGCACTTCATCACCCCAAGAGCAGACCTTGGAATTCTACTGTCGCTCACTGGGAACAGAGAATCCCTTCTGTTCCCTCTTTCCTCCCCTCCCTGAGGGGCACCCACCGCATTGAGCAACAGCCTACAGTTCTCCTTCCTCTCTGCTTGAGGTCTGAAGGTGCAACTTCGCCTCTCCAGATTTAGTTCACCGCCTGCCAAGGGAGAGGGATGGGTAGGGCTGGGGCTGGGAGGCCCATGAAAACTCTCCAAGCTCCGTTGCAGCCCACCCCCAGGGGAAGGTTATCAGCATCTCCATCCTGCCTCTGCTGGGGACAGGGAGGGTGGACGGAGCTGCTCTTGGCCCTCACTCACCCCAGAGCAGGGTCTTTGCTTTTTCAGCTGTGCTGCTGATGCTAGGGCGACTCATGTCGCTGAGCAGAGCAGTGGGGGTGGCCGGACAGCTGTAAGGAGGGGGCCTGTCGTGAGTCAAGGTCCAGGGACCCTGCTTGGTACTCAGCAGCACTCTTTGTCAGCTGAGTGGTGCCGGATGGGCTAGCAGGGTTAGGTGATGAGGCCTTGGTTGCAGCCTAAGAGTGGCGCCATGGTCAAGGGCTCATTATAAACTCCTGGAGGACAGACAAGTATCCATGGCCCTACAGATGAGGGCAGCCCAGACCTGAAACAGCAGTACCAGGGAGAGAAAGGCGGTTCTGTCAAGCCCAGCTTGCTGTGAGATCACTTTTTGGGCCCTCCCAGCCCTGTGGGAGGGTGCCAGGGTGTGTGTGACCTCATTGGGGTGGGGGTCTCAGAAAACAGAGAGAATGTCTAGTTTGGGCTTAATGCCACTCATGCCCTGGGTCCCAGCCTTCCTCAGCCCCTCTTGAATCTCACCTTGCTGTTGCTCAGGTCATGTGTTGTCCTACTGACTTAGGCCTCGTCCTCCTTCACCAGAGGCTTGATGTCCACACCAGGCTGTTAAAGAAGCCTGGGAAGGGGAAGAGGAAGGGGAGCTGTCCAATCAGCATCCAAGAAGCAGTCCTTTCCCCCATCCTATTCTCTCCTCCTCTGTGCCCCAGAATCACCTGGAGGGGCTCATTAAAACACACTTTGCTGGGCCTGACCTCTAATTTCCCATTGAAGAGGTCTGAGTGGGGCCAAGAGAATTTGCATCTTTAACAAGCACCCAGGTGAGGCCGCTGCTGCTGGTGCAGGACCACTCAGTGAGAACCACTGTCACGGCCACAGGGATTCACTAAGCCTAGTGCATGCTCCTTCTTCCCATTGGCCACCATTCTGCATCTCTGCCTGCGAAGTGTGGAGATTCTGATTGCTCTGCATCTTCATCAACACTTGACATTGTCACTCTTCCTAACTTTAGCCATTCCAGCGGGTGTATTTGATTTTCTAGCGATATTTAATTTGTGTTTTTTATTTGTATTTCCTTGATGAAAAATGGTATTGAACATCTTTTAAAGCAATTACTGATCACGTGTATACAGTCATTTGAAAAACTCCTGTTCAAGTATTTTGCCTATTTTTAAGTCCTAAATACAAATGGTTTTTAACATATAGATAAATAGCTTTTAAAGATGGATAGATGCTGAAACTCAATACAAATTAAAATTGTATTGAAGTAATGCAAATCATCAGTATGAAGTAATGAAAATCATCAGTAGTAAGTGCTCTTCAGAGATCAGGTGCTATTTTGAGTAATACATATATCATATTTATTCTTTGCAACGACCCTACAGCCTAGTGATATGCAGCATGATATTCTTTCCATGCTAGTCATTGTTTCACCTGTTTTTTTTTTTTTTTTTTTTTTTTGGTACTAGGAATTGAATCCAGGGATGCTTAACCACTGAGCAACATCCTCATCCCCTTTTGTATTTTATTTAGAGAGAGGGTCTCACTGAGTGGCTTAGGTTCTCAATCCTCCTGCCTCAGCCTGTGTGAGCTGCTGGGATTACAGGCATGCATCATTGCACCAAGATATTTTGCATATTTTTGTAGTTGGACACGATACCTTTATTTATTTATTTTTGTATGGTGCTGAGGATCGAACCCACGGCCTCTCATGTTCTAGGTGAGCGCTCTACCACTGAGCCACAAACCCAGTCCTATTTTAAAAGAGTTATTTTTCTTATTGGGTTGTAGAGATTCTTTATATATGCTGTATGCTTGTTTTGGGTCAAATTATGTATTTCAAAGATTTTTTATTTCCATTAGATAGTATCTTTTCAAGATTTGATGAAACCCATTTTTTTTTTAATGGTTTTGGTTTGTTAAGACATCTGGCTTAACTTGAAATATTATGAAATGTTTTGAGTATACTCTTTTGTAAATACTCTTAGGTGAGGATCAATGTCTGCCTCCCAATGGCATATCCATTTCCTCTAGCACCAACATATATATTGGTACCAGCGATTGAACCCAGCGGTGCTTAACCACTGAGCCACATCCCTAGCCCTTTTATAAATTTTATTTAGAGACAGGGTCTCGCTGAGTTGCTTAGGGACTTGCTAAATTGCTGAGTCTAGCTTTGAGCTCATAATCCTCCTGCCTCAGCCTCCCAAGCTGCTGGATTACAGGTGTGCACCACCATACCTGGCTGTAGCACCAATTTTGAATATTATCCTTTCCCTATTGTTTTACCTTTGTTGAAAATCAGCTGTAAAAGTTGTTCTATATCTGGACTTCATTCTGTTTCATTGATCTATATGCCTGCTCTAAGGCCAATACCACAATGTCTTGATAACTCTAGTTTCACAGAAAATCTTGAAATCACAAGCCCACTAGCTCTGTTATTCTATTTTAAAAAACATTAGGGATTCCAGATTCTTTGCGTTTTCATGTAAATTTTATTTTATTTTTATTTTATGTATTTATTTTTACATGGTGCTGAGGTTTGAACCCAGTGCCTCACACATGCTAGGCAAGTGCTCTACCACTGAGCTACAGCTCCAGCCCTTCATGTAAATTTTATAATCAGTGTGTCAGTTTCTTTAATAAACCCTTTTGAGATTTTTATTGGGATTTTATTGAATGCAAAGATCAATATAGGTATAACTGACATAGTTTTGAGTTATTCAATCCATGAATGCATTACAATCTGCTTAGATCTTTAATATTCCTTGGCAGTATTTTGTAGATTTTAGAGTACAGATCTGTATCTTTTTTTTGGTACCAGGGATTGAACTCACGGTGCTTAACCACTGAGCCACATTCCCAACCTTTTTTATTTTGAAGCAGGGTCTCACTAAGTTGCTTAGGGCCTCCCCAAGTTGTTGAGGCTGGTTTTGAACTTGAGATCCTCCCGCCTCAGTCTCTCAAGCCACTGTGCCCAGGCCTGACATCTATCTTGTTAAATTTATTTATTTATTATTATTTTTTGTGATGCCGGGGCCTTGTGCATGCGAGACTAGCACTCTGTATCCACTGAGCTACATCCCAAGCCCAGATTTATTTTTACATACTTCATGTTTTGGATGCCACAGCATATGGTATATATTTAAAAATGTCTTCCTCAAATTGCTGTTAGTATACAGAATTACAGTTTGTGTATGTGTACTTGTGTGTTGCTAAGGATCAAACGCAGGTTCTTGTGTGTGTGCTAGGCAAGCACTCTACACAACTGTGGCTTTTCTTGTATATTAGTCTTGTATTCTGTGTTTTCTGCTTGCTTATTAGTCCCAGTAGCTTTTTTGTACCCTAAGTCATGATATCTGTGAGTAGAGTTTTACTTCCTCCTCTCTGATCAGTGCGCCTTTTCCTTCTTGTGATCATGTTAGGACCTCAGGTAAAATATTGAATAGAAGTGGTAAGAATGGGCATGCTTACCTTCTTGGCTTTTGGGGAAACACTGGTTTTCACCTGTTACTGTGCTGTTGGTGATAGGCTTTTTGTAGATATCCTTTATCAGTTTGAGAACATTTATTTTGGACCTGGAGCTATAGATGGTGGCATACATGAGACCCTGGGTTTGATCCCCAGCTCAGCCAAAAGTAAAACAAAAAAAGAAAACAAACAAACAACAACAAACCCCCCCAACCAGAAAGTTTCTTTCTATTGCTAGTTTGTTAAAAGTTTTTTTAAAGCCTTTTTTTTTCCAGTTGTAGATGCGCACAATACCTTTATTTTATTTACTTGTGTGGTGCTGAGGATTGAACCCAGTTCCCCATGCATGTGAGACAAGCGCTCCACCACTGAGCCACAACCCCAGCACTTGTTAAGCTTTTAAAATTTTTTTTATATTTTTAATTCATTAATAGCTGGGTATGGTGGTGCATGTCTGTGCATGAACTCAGGAGGTAGGAGCATCACAGTAATTTAGTGAGCCATTTTATTCAATTTTTAAGTAAAAATTAAAAAGGGCTAGGAATGTACCTCAGTGGTAAATTGCCCCTGGTTCAATCCCAGCACTGAGAAAAAAAATTAGGAATAAAAATTGAATTTTGTTGTCATATGTTTTTATTTACTGAAACCATCTATTATTTCTCCTTAATATTGTTTATATGGTAAATTAAATTTATTGTTGTTTTTCAAATGCTTTCAACCTTGATCTTGACTCCTAGATCAATCAATCACATTTGGTCAAGGTAGCTCTTATATATTGTTGGATTTGCCTTGTTTATATTTCCATATGGATTCATAAAATATGGTAATCTAAAGGGTTCTTTGTTTTGCTTTTTTCATTTAATCTCTGATTTCGGCTTGGGAGATGCCTATTTGGTAAAATGAGTTGGGAAGTGCTCCCGCCTACTGAACTTTTGTGTTTGGTATTATTTCCTCAGTTTGATGTCTCTCAGGCACTGCGTGCAAAAGCAGGGAATCCTCTTGGGATCAGAGTTTCGCTGAGACTCTTCAAAGACCCCGCCTTCTCTACAGTACTCAGGAGCTGTACTGCCCTCGATCCCTCTTTTCCTCATTTAGCGGCCGCTCTATTCTGGAACCTGATAATCAAGCAAGAATCATCTTTTACTCTCCAAATCCAACTGGTCACAGAGCCCAGTTACCTCCATTTCCCTTAATCTCACTCCACTCCCTTTTCCCAACCCTTGCCTTGTTCCAATGTATTACCCACTAGCTGGTGGGTTAAACAAAGACTCCTCACTAGGTGGCTTTGACAAGTGGCTTTGGAAATTAAGAGCTTTTAGGATCAAATGTCACCTCTCGTGCTCCACCCCTCATCTAGACACATACAGGGCTGCACTCTCTAGTCCTATTTCCGAAACTCCTAGGAAGGCAAACGACGTTTCATGCCTGCGTCCGTGCCTTCTTCGATTGGCCAGCCCTGCCCCGTGCGCCTGGGTGCCCCTTCGGCGTTCTCCCCGCGCTCCTGGCCGCAGGTGCGCATCCCTCTCAGTCGGCCTGCTCCACTGGGGTCTTCCCAGCCAGCGACCAAGTCCCCAACCCCCGTCCCCCAGCCCTATTCCAGGGTGCGAGCGAACTTAACTCCTAGCAAGCGCACCGGGGTGGAAAGACTCCTCACTAGGTGGCTTTGACAAGTGGCTTTGGAACTTCGCAGAGCAGGTAAAGACGGTGTCCCAAACTCAAACCTACCGCAGGACCGAGTCCTTGACTGCGCTTGCGCACGACGGCGGGGCTTGTCTAGCGACACCGCACGAAGGGCGCGCTTGGAGCCGGTGTGCGCAGACGCACGGGGACACCGCCGCTCCCGACGCAAGGGGCGCGCAGAACCACTTCCGGGTCCGCGGGCCGGCGGCTGCTGGGGCAGCGCCAACGAAGAGTGAGGGGTCGCTTGTCGGTCGTGGACGTTTCCCCGTTTCCTTCGTGAGGTTGAGGCGGGACCGTGTCGCCTTCTGCTCTTTCCCTTTCCGCAGAGGTCTGCCGCGCTTGTGTGGGCTTAACCGCTCTGCACCAGGCAGTGGAGGGCTCTGCAAGGGCGTCACTCGCATAGTTCCACCTGCTCTCTCCACTTACCGCCTGTGCGGACGCTCCCGCAACCCAGAGTTCACACTTCCTTGTCGTCATCATGACGTACCAAGATCGTCGGGTCCCGGCTCGTAGGGAGCCTGGTTTGATTGGTAGGGAGGGGACGGCTTAAGAACAGCTCAAATAAATTAGCAGGTTTAGGCGTTTAGGGATGGAAACTGTAGACGGGTACTTTAGAGAGGACTTGAGGCTCGATTTTGTGATGTGGGAAAGGGTAGGTGAACAAAAGGCATTAAGTTTAGATGAGAAAAGAGGGTTGGAAAAGACATCAAAGAAGGTGTGGCAGCAGTTGCATCTGTCTAGTTGAATGGAAGGATTCCACTGCGGTGTTTGTAGCTGGGTTGGTGAAGTTTGTCCCCATGGTTGACTGGAATAGTTTTCTGATGAAATGATAAAGGCCTGTTACATTTTTCTTTTGATATTGGGGTTTGAACCGGGGTCGCCGTACCATTGAGCTAGGTCCCCAGCTCTTTTGAGACAGGGTCCTGCTGAGTTGCAGACTGCTCCAGACCTTATCCTCTTGCGTGTTTCCCAAGTGCCTGGGATAGCAGGCATCTTTCACCACACCTGGCTGCCCAGTTACTTTGAAAAATGGTTTCATTTCCATTATCTTAGTTGGTACTCTCATTTTCCAGTTGAAATAATTCAGCTTGAATTTTCGGTCAAAATTCTCCTACCCCTTTACTAGCTGTGATTACTTATCAGTATCTCTTTAAGCTTTACATAGGACAGACACACTATCCGCTGGTCAGTTTTTATCCAGTGAGCTTGGTTGTCCCTCTGGATCTTGAATTCTGATGTCTAACTTGATAAATTTGTGAAACAGTAATAAGAGTCTAGGAGATTCCTCACTTGTCATTCTTCACTCCTTTGCAACCCAATAATGAGATAGGCTAGATTGTACAGATACTATGTGCTTAAGTGCATCATGAATTGTCTTCATGGATCTCGAAAGTATAACTGTAAGGTGCTATAAGATCTGTTCACTGTTTATTTTGGGGGGGGGGGAATAAGAGGTGCTGGGGATTGAACCAAGACCTGGCACATACTAAGCACATACTCTATCATTGAAGTATACTCCTAGCCCTATTTTATTTAGAGGCAGGGTCTCACTGAGTTGCTTAGTGCCTGCTGTTGCTGACACTGGCTTTGAACTTTTGTTCCTCCTCCTGCCTCAGCCTCTGGAGCATGCATCACCTGTTGACTGTATTTTAAAGCCAGTTTGAACTATCAGGGATCTACACCTAAGAGTGGAAATAAATTTGCTTTGCAGATGACATTTTCTGTTTTGAGTTTCCTTTTCCACTGCTGACAATCAGAAAATTATTTATAGATGCTTAGTATTTGACAAATGAACACATCATAAAGGACAGACATTAAATTTTCCCAAGAACTATGTTCTGAGGAAGGGGAGTACTTTCCAAACTTGATTCCATTCTCTACCCTGATGGTCTCATGTCCAATTGTCTGATAGCTGCTTCCTCTAGTTGATCCACTGGTTCTGAAAACACACTGAAGTGGCTAACAACCACTGAATTCAGAGTATCTAAGGCACCCAAGGTAATGGATCCAAAAACAGCTAAAGGCAAGAACCCCTCTAGACATTATCTAGAATCTAATTAACAGTTGCATAATTATGGCTGATAAATACATTTTTATTCTTCTAAATTTCCCTGTGACTATATTCTTCTGCTTTGACACTTGAGATTTTGGCAACATTAGATGTCAGCTTAGGTTTCTAGATATAACCAAAAATTTTGTATGAGGACAGGGTTGACTGGTGGCAAGTAGGACACGGGGGGTGGTGTTTTGGACCTGTATTTATCATTCTTATCCCATTACCATGGATATTTTGGAAAGTATCTGTGTACCTGGATGAAATTTCATAGGGTACTTCAACATTTTTTCACTTGCAGGTAAAAAAATCCTTAATAAACCCATGTTTTGGAGAATGAAAAAAATTTCTTAGTTGGCTATCATTTGTCATCAGAAAGTTAGAAATTCTGAGTCCTTACTTCCTAAAATTTTAAAAACTAAAAAATGTGAACCTGAGCCTTATTTGTTTTCAGTACTTAAGATTGGACCCAGAAGTTCTTTACCACTGAGCTACATCTACAGCCACCCCCCACTTTTTTTTTTTTTTTTTTTAACAGGGTCTAAGTTGCTGAGACTGATCTTCAACTTGCAATCCTCCTGCCTCAAGTCTCTGGAGTCCCTGGGATTAGAGGCATCTGCTGCCATACTTGTGGTTGGGATTACTGGCATTCACCACAGTGCCCAGCCTCCCTTCTTTTGATTAATACTTTAGTGGGAAAAGAAAACCAGGGCACACACACAAAACAGTTAGTAATTGACAGTAAAGAATTTGTTGTGGGCTGGGGATGTGGCTCAAGCCTGGCATGCGCGGGGGCCCTGGGTTTGATCCTCAACACCACATAAAAATAAAGATGTTGGGTCTACAGAAAACTAAAAAATAAATATTAAAAAATAATTCTCTCTTAAAAAAATTTGTTGTTTTAACACAGCCACATCAATGTTTATAGCTGCACAATTCACAATAGCTCAACTGTGGAACCAACCTAGATGCCCTTCACTGGTTGAATGGATAAAAAAAAAATGTGGCATATATACAAAATGGAATATTACTCAGCAATAAAAGAGAATAAAATCATGGCATGTGCAGGTAAATGGATGGTGTTGGAGAAGATAATGCTAAGGGAAGTTAGCCAATCCCCCCCAAAACAAATGCCGAATGTTTTCTCTGATATAAGGAGGTTGAATCATGGTGGGGTAGGGAGGGGGAGCATGGGAGGAATAGACGAACTCTATATAGGGCAGAGGGGTGGGAAGGGAAGGGAGGGGGCAGGGGGTTAGCAAAAATGGTGGAATGTGATGGACATCATTATCCAAAGTACATGTATGAAGACACAAATTGGTATGAACATATTTTATATACAGAGACGAAAAATTATGCTCTATATGTGTAGTGAGAATTGTAATTCATTCTGCTGTCATTTATTTTTTAAAAATCAATTAAAAAATTAAAAAAATAAAAGAATTTGTTGTTTCAGGGTAAGGTACAGTTTGTTTCAGGAAAAAGTACCTAGTAATAGTCTAGAGACTCCTACATAAATTCATTTTTTGACTGAATAAAAACCACATGATTTCTAGAGAAACTGGAACTTAAGATTTAACTTGGCTTTTATTAGGTTGAATTATATGAAATTAATAATCATGTTTTACCAAAAAAGGCTACGGGGGGGGGGGTACCTGCTCTTATAATTGGCAATTAGGAGAGAACAGTCCCTTGGCCATGTACTCAGCCTGTCCTGATGAGACCACCATGCCTGATGAGTTTCTTGCCTCAAATTATTTTTGTGGAAGGGAAGGAAGAGGGCTCTGGGATTTTGCAGATGGATAGGCATGTCAAGATAGTTGGGGAAAAGGGACTCTTTCTCAAGTACCTGTGAGAAAGTTGTTACTGTTTTGTCTTCAGAATTAGAATTCTAAGTCCCTGGAGCACAGGAGAATTTTGCTTAATAATGGAACTTCACCACTCAGTATTTTATCTCTCTGCTAGGCTTACAGATGCTAATATCAGTCAATTTTATTTGCCTTTTTTGGGTTTGTTTTTTGGTGGCACTGGGGATTGAATGCAGGGGTCCTCTACCACTGAGCTACATTCCCAGTCCTTTTTGTCTTTGTGAGATGGGGTCTTGCTAAGTTGCTGAGGCTGTCTCTGAATTTGTAGATCTTCCCATCTTAGCCTCTAGAGTTGCCAGGATCACAGATATGAGCTTGTGCCATTAGAATACAATTTTTTTGCCTTCAAAACAAAACTGAGGTTATACCTATTCGAAGAAGGCTGAAACAGCATAAAAATGAGTATTTAAGTCAGACAAGATGGCACTCTTGAACCTATGAATCATTGGATATTATTTTTTTTTTTAAAGAGAGAGAGAGAGAGAATTTTTTAATATTTATTTTTTAGTTTTCGGTGGACACAACATCTTTGTTTGTATGTGGTGCTGAGGATTGAACCCAGGCCACAGGCATGCCAGGTGAGCGCGCTACGGCTTGAGCCACATCCCTAACCCCTCACTGGATATTATTAACCTGCAGTAAGGTACACACCTGCTTTCCAGTGTTTTTGGTAATGAAGCTCTAGCATACTTAGGTACTGTGCAGCTTAGGAATTAGGAGTTCACATTTCATTAGTGTTCTTCATTTGCTAAATCTGGCCCATAAGGTCTGGAAGTATTCCAGGGGATAGCATTTGCCTTTGAACTTGTCAGGATCTACTGAATAAAGCCCAGCCCACACCAGAAGAGCAGATGTCAAGACACTAACAAAGCTGGGCTTTCTTCAATTACTGCTTGTCTGCGGGTGGCCACATTAGTACCATGCTAGTAAAGAGGTGGCTTCATTCAGCTGTGGACAACATATGCTATCCCTTATGCACGTCAGCCGAACCAATCATACTTTGAAAACGAAGTTGAGTGAGACTTAGTCCAATGCTTTTTTTTTTTTTAACTAGGGGTGCTCTACCACTGGGCAACAACATCCCCAGACTTTTTTTTTTTTTGTATTTTGAGACACAGTTTTACTAAGTTGCCCAAGCTAGCCTTGAACTTGCTATCCTCCTGCCTTAGCCTCCCGAGTCACTGGGATTATAGGTGTGGCCACCACTTGCATTTACTCTGATGAGAAACAAGTTAATTTTTAAGGCTGAGAGGCCCCTGTCGCTCACTGGCTTTTAAGAATGCATGTTTCAAACAGCTTTGTGTTTAGAGTGAGACACGTCCCTGAACACACACTAGACTTGATTGCTGAAACCAGGTCAGTAGAAACCATTGAAGTTTATTGGCGGTCACAATGCTTACACTGTATGCAGCAAACACCCTTACAAGTCTATCCGCAACCTGATCACGCAAGAAAGGAGTCACCACACAGTCGCCAGAGGAAAAGGAAAAAAAAAAAAAAAATCAACAGGCTTGTTTCTGGGGGTAGAGGAGAGAAATAAAAACAAAACCTAAT